AGGATTAGACAAACTCATAGACAATATGGCTATCAATGTATAGTAGTCACTATACTTACAGGCAGACTCCAGTATCTACAAATAGTAAAGCTATGAATACCAGTTGTTGAACCTGAGTGGGAGGATAGTATTGTACACACGTCATATTTATCGGCTTCTCACGAACAGGTATTTGGCTACTATGCAAGCAGAATGCAGACTATATTGACTTTTGGTCTGATCCAGCAAAGTGTTTCTCATGCTTATATATATATATATATATATATATATATATATATATATATATATATATATATATATATATATATATATATATATTATGCTTTAGAGTTATGTTTATCATATTTACCATTTTTTTTAATTGGTGGTGCTAATTTTTCTAGATTATAATTCTCTCAGAGTTTACTGGGCTGAATGGAATGACTGAAGACATATTATGATTTGAAGGGGTTAGAAGAGATATTCCCCAGACACCATATACATGTTTCATTACTTCATGCTGCCAATTTCATGCTGCCAACTTCTTTCTTTCAGTTAATCTCAAAGGTACTACAAGATCTCTCTACACAGTGATTCTACAGACTAACACAGCTATATCTTTGAGTCCTTGAAACACTAATGACTGTGAAGTGTCATTAACAGAGAAGAGGTAGGCTTGGTTTAGAGCAGGAACTAGAATTAGAGAAAGCATTCTTCCTCCTACAAATTCTAAATTTGTAAGTGTGTGTCTTCTTGAGCCTGCAGTCCTGCTCTTTGGGTGGTGGTTCAGTCTTTTCTCCTTTCCCCCTCCTTCTCATTCTGTATTGGGAATGCTGGTTGTGGCTGTAACAGCAGGGAGGTCAAATTCAATCCCCTTTCTCTCCTCCTAGGGAGTAGAAAAGGTCCCTCCTCCCCACCCTTCTATACCTACCAATTGTGCAACTGAAGGAGTCACCAGACAAACAGACTCCCATGTGTGTGAAAATAAAATGCAAGCCAGAGAAGAACATAGGGAATCACAATGCTCAGTTCATTTTGAAGACAAATGCTATGACATGCCAAGGTTTGCATTTTGAGCCAAGGAATGAGAAAATATGGTTACAGATCTCGAAAGTGGTGTTTTTAACATACAGGTCAGTGAAGGTGAGGGTGGTGGAACTGTACAACCTTCCAGATTTTGTTGGACTGGAACTCCTAGCAGCTCTTTGTGTGCCTTCAAGTTGCCCATTGGCTTATGGTGACCCCATGAATTTCATAGGGTTTTCTTAGGCAATGTATCCTCAGAGGTGGTTTGCCAATTCCTTCCTAGGTCACACAATTCCTAGCCCTGCTATAGATTTATCAAACCATGAATTCACTCTCTGACAAATGTGCGCACACATGCATATATAATAAGGGTTGTTGAATTAGAGCTTCTTGATTATTCAAGTAGGTTAGAAAGTAAAGTACTCAGACCTAGAATGCATATGCTTCAATTGTTCTTGCACAATTGTAAACAAAATAATCCAAAGTAGCTTTTAATTATAAGCATTCAATTCAAGGCTTTAGTGTTGTATACATTTTATAATATGATGCCAGAAATTGCTTCATTGTTCATCCTAATGGTCTTGGTGCCCCTAAATGACTGTTATTGCTTTGATTACCTAGAAAATGCATCTCATCAACAGCTCTAACGCTATCAAATTAGGATGGACACACACACTTCTCCTTTCCCACTGCCGAATCTGTACATTTATTTATAACTAAACTATCTGGCAACATAAAAATACCCAAGTTAATCCTTCCCATGTATTATACATAAGTGCTACGTATTTCTATTGAATTGTATTTTACACTGCTTATAGGCTCTGATCAGAAAATTGTAAGCTTTCAGAAAAATGTTTGCCAATTTTCTGTGATCATACTCCACTACAATTTTAACTACCAAATAAAATAAAGGTTTGGGGTTTTTAGCAATATAATATTACTTCAAGTGCATTAATAAGATTGGTAACAGCAGTAGCTGGCCTCATTCTACTGTTCATGAGTTTAAATTGTTATTCTCCCAACCTCTCGAATTCACCACATGCACTGACAGCTTTTAAAAAGAAATTAGAGCCTGCTCATTCTGAGGCACTGAGTTGCTATAATAACAAAAAAAAAAAATCTCCCTTGAAAATATCAAGGAGAATTTTATTCAAAGTGTGGAAGAGGGAGGAAGAAATCAGAAAGCTCCATGCAAAGTGCCACCTACATAAGCATGAAATGGAATTCTATTCATGTTGGTAGCTATCCATTGTCTGTAATTTCTGGACCCCTAAAAGCTTCCCATCAGTAAATGGTGACTGTTGTATCATGGACAAGGGAACCATTGGGTGCCTTAAGGAACATAGCATTTCCCCTACACCTGGACTAAAGCCATAGTGATAATGTTCTCAAGTCAAATCTCAAAAGGATCTGCAGGCAGAAGCCAGAAGCACCTTCTGTTCCTAACCATCCCTGTATTACCAGGTGTGTGTGTGTGTGTGGGGGGGGAACGACACAGAAGGTAGAGCAGGATCTAGATACACCCTCATTAAAATATGCTGAATTCCTAGAATGTGTCTGTTTGAAAAGGCACTATAAGGTTACTCCCCATCACCCCAGGCAAATATATTATTGTAACAGAACACTGGGTGACAGTAATGGTGGAGGTGGCTGGGTTGTTCATGTCTGTATTTAGAGGGCCCTCATAATCTGAAGCCTTAAAGCTGTCATTTATTTATCTTTTCATTATCTGGTGCTGGATCTAATGGTAGATCTCCAAGGGAACTGAAGGAGATTGGTTTTTCAATCCCAATTGTCTAACAACAGCTACCACTAAAACACTCAGTCTCCTCTAAATTAGGTTGCTGCTAAAAAAATAAAAATAAAAATTGATGGCTGAACAAAAAAAAAGTCTGGCAGAAAATCAGGACTGGATGGGGGTGGAGGAGAAATTGTGTTTTGTTACCAAGCAGAAATTCCTAGACAGAACAAGTATTGAGAGGCACACACCACTCAGCATATCTCCATCCAACTGAATTATTATTTTGTAGATGGATCTAGCTGGTGGACCATGCAGCTGCCTTCCACCCAACCTGTTGGTTGTTAGATAGTTTCTAAAAGGTTAGGCAAATTACAATTATCAATAGTAGTTAAATAGAATCTCCATGTTCAGAGGGCACACAACTCACAGCAGAGGATAGGAAAACTACTTTTTTGGGTCACATTTCCCAGATTTCCTCCCACCACTATGGCCAGTGGCTATTCTGGGAGTCCTACTCCAAAACAAATTTTCCAAACTCTGCTTCAGAAAACCAGAATCTGGGAGCATAAAACATGGGAAAGATGTTTCTTGTCATACTCTGATAAGGAGCTTCCCAGAGACTCCTATATAGCTAGAAAGCTGGAAATGAGAATTAGGACTCTGACGGCAGCTGGTGAATCAAATATCAATTTGGTTGGGGATGGGGGTGGGTGGGGTAAAGTCCATTTCTAGCTTTAGTTCATACTGTCCATTGACTGTCTTGTGGCCTCCACACGGCTTCAGAACTATGGACAGGTCCTTGAAACCCAGATCAACTGCGTCATCCCACTGACATTGGAGCTACCAGCTACCACTGTTAGAACAGAGTAACCCTTGATTAATAGCACAATTCATATTGTCTTCTTCCCTTCCAGATAACTGCCTTACACATCTATAAATATAAAAAGTACATGGCCCCTAAATAACTGTCAGTACATGAAAATATAGGCATGCGGTGGCTTAGTGGTTAAGACACCAATTCTGATGATCAGAAGATTGGAAGGTTGGCAGTTTGAGGCCCAAGTGCTGCATGACAGAATGAGCTCTTGTCACTAGTCCCAGCTTCTGCCAACCTAGCAGTTTGAAAGCATACAAATTCAAGTAGATAAATAGGTACCACTTCAGTGGGAAGGTAACAGCATTTGGTGCAGTGATGCTTGCCACACGACTACCAGAGCAGTCCTCAGACAACACTGGCTCTTCAGCTTAGTAACAGAGATGAGCATTGACTCCTATAGTCAGTTACAACTAGACATTTAAATCAAGGGAGTACCTTTAACTTTTTTTACATGATAATATAAGACCATTTTCAACCTGGTGCCCTCCAGATATTCTTTAAAATGCTACTTTTCCAAGCTCTGTGCTCTGTATCACAACACTTACCATTCCTCAGCATTGGCCATGGAGACTAGGGCTGATGGAGATTGTAATATCCAAATGCAGAGGGTCTGAGACTAGGACAGGTTGGTGTAAAGCAGGGGTTGGCAACCTACGGCCCACAGGCCACACCTGGCCCGCTGACCCCCGCCGACTGGCCCCCGCCAATCCTCGACAACGACGACCACAGCAACGCCATTTTGTTTGCCAAAATGGAGGCAACAACGCATTTGCGCATGTGCAGTACTCCTGCGCATGTCTGAACGAGCCACGGCTGCCATTTTGGAAAACAAAATGGCGGTGGCAGCACATGCGGCAGTGGCGCGGCCAAAATGGTGCCCTGGAGGAGCCCTGTGGCAGCGCTGGGCCTCTTGGAGGCCCGTCGCTGCCGAGGGAAGCCTCCTGGGGGGTCCCCGCAGTGGCGCTGGGCCTCTCAGAGGGAGCCCTCCTGGGGGGTCCCACCGCCGTGTGCATGCGCGCGTGACACCGGGGGGGCTGGTGGCCACCATTTTGTTTTTCAAAATGGTGGCATGCTCACCCGCATGCACACCGGCCCCCAGCGCCATTCCCCCCCCAGCCCATCGGCAAAAAATGTTGCCGACCCCTGGTGTAAAACAATAACATTTGCACCAAAGCCAATATTCAAAATGCAATTCTGGCAATCCAGAAGCACATGACGAGTGCCCAAATCTACTGTCTATGGTATCTGTCTATCAAGTAGAGGCTTTAAGCTCACACTGTTGTGCTGTTTTCAACTTATGGCAACCCTAAGCTGAACATATCACAAGGTTTTCTGGGGATGAGTGTGATTCACCCAAGGTCACCCAGTGGGTTTCCATGGCTGAGTAGGGAATTGAACCCTGGACTCAGGAGTCATAGTCCAATGCTCAAACCACTACTCCACAGTGGCTTTCACTGTGCCAAAGCTCTAGTGAGGTTATTTTAAAAGTGATCTAATGCTATGTTACTCTCACACATATCATTTCCTGATAGAGATCACCTTAAACATTTGAATATGTAGAAAGATTTCAAAATGTATTTGGGTCAACAGGAATATAACTATCTATGGAGCTTACTTTTATTTTTAGATTCATTGGTTCATCTAATTCATTACTGTCTACACCAGGGGTAGGCAACCTTTTTGAGCCGGGGGCCGGGTTGCTGTCCCTCAGACAGTTGGGGGGCCGAAGCACCAAAAATAAATAAATGAATAAATAAATAAATATTTTTTTTTTAAAAAATTAAAAATTAAAAAAATATGCATGCACACTCTCTCAGCCCCAGAAAAGCCATGGCAAAAACCCTGTGGAGATTTTGCCAAGAAAGTCCCAAGAACAAGTAATAACAGCAATAATCAATATCATCATGGTGGGCGGCGGCGGCAGGACTGGCCTGGGGCCGGTCCAAAGGTCTCGGCAGGCCGCATCCGGCCCCCGGGCCTTAGGTTGCCTACCCTTGGTCTACACTAACTAGATGCAGGCAGAATTCTTTCCAAGGCTGTCATGGAAATTCCAGGGTTGAACTTGCAATCTTTTACATGCAAAGAATGCATAATCAGAGGTCTTAGCAAAGCAAAATGAAGGGAGAAGTGCTTCTAGAGGAAAAACAACAACAACATAAGATAAACTTGAAATAAAAAACAACCACCACCAGATATACATCTGAGGAGAATGCTATATTTATAAAAGCATAGTCTCCTGCGTGGACATGGATTCTGTAGACAGGAAAAGGAAACACAAAGCATCCCAATGATGGCTTGGATGAAGAAGGTCTTCTGGATGGAGGAGAGATCATTTTTAACAACATCTAGTGGCTTCCATGTCAGTGGGGTGGTAAATCTACTCTGGGTTTTAGTTTAACTCCAAGGAGCTATCCAAGGTGCTATACCCTTGGATGGCTCCTTTAAAGTTTAGACTTGAATCCAGAGCAGATTGACATGGAAGCCATTGACATGGAAGTGATCAGCCTGTTGTTTTTGTTCAGAGTCCTTGTTTTGTCCTGTGCCTACAGGCAGTAAGTGCCAGGATAGGCAGACTGTAGTAGGGAGAAGCAATTATAAGTGAGCCAAGCCAGTCCAGGTCAAACACAGGTAATCAAAAGAGTTAACCAAAGTAAAAGGGGAATCAGTTGTTTCATTAGGAGAAGCCAGTAGACAGGGTAATGAGAATCAAGAGGGAAAGACAAAGAGACATAAAATTTAAGCAAGTCCAGAGATCAAGTATCCAAATAAATCCAGCAACAGGAAGTGCACAAAAGGTAGGGAGAGCGAATGGCTGCAAACAAACAAAAAATACCCTCTCAGCAGCTGCTGTGGGATTTATAGCTGCCTGACCCTGACATGCCAGATCCCTGACTGCACACAGTTTCTTATTTAAGAAACCTTGGTTGCATTGGCACTGTTCCTTTTCTTGATGATACTCCACAAATAATGGGGGTGTCTCCTTAATGTCCCTCAGTCCCAGCTGAGCTGGGGTCCCATCTTGGTGAAGTTCTTCATCAGCTACATCTCCCACTAGCTTCTCAGATTAAGGGAGGAAAGCCATCATGTAGTGTCACAGGACTTTCCATATCTGACCCTTCTGCGTGGTGCATTATGACAAATGTTCCCAGTTGTAATTCAAGTGAAATGAATGGCCAGGAGAACCTTCCTTGCCCCATATGCCAGGAAGCTATAACACCAAAGAAAGTGGAGTGGGTGAAGGAGAGGGAAAAGAGAGGATGAAAGGAAGCCCAAGCCAGGACTTCCATTCTTACAGCTCTTACTGTCAATGTTTCCTCCACTTAAACTGCTTTGGCTTGTGGACATATGTGAACACACACAGGTCTGTAGCCTTAATTCTCAGACTTTTTTGGGGGGGGGGATGTGTCCACTGCAGAAGAGGTATAATAATGAAAAAATTGGGAAGAGGTTTTAGGAGACTTTTTGAAACATGAATTTGAAGAATGGAAAAGAATCTTGGAACAATGGGAAGCATTATGAGTGTCAGCACTTGTTCCTAAGTAAATCCCACTGGATTAAATAATGAGAATATTCAGATTTAGGACAGCCGCATTAAAACACCAGGAATGGGGAGGGGGAGAATAAAATTCATACCTCCATTTTAACAATAACTCAATACTTGTGATGAATGCTTTCATCTTGTTTGCATTTAAGAGATAAGTCACAGTGGGAGATTTTACAAGCAAACTTTAAATCCACTTTTTCTCATTGCAAAAAGGGGTTTGATGGCATCCGATTCTCGAAGGAGAGGAAGTGCAGAGACAGAGACAAATTAGGTAAACAGTTCTTTTATTCATCTCATCCAGATGAAACGCAGTTCCTGCTACTGTACACACAAGAGAACAAATCCCTTAAGTTACAATAGTTAAATCCTCCCTGTCATTAGCTAAGATGAAAAAGTGTTTGCATTTGCCCCTCTCCGAGCCATTAGAGATCTAAGCCAGATGGAGTTTTTAAAGTGGCCGTAACAGCCTCATTCAAACTTGCCGGACTTCATACTACTCAAAGGTAAGTGGGTCTTTCAGACTTGGTGTCTTATCAGTGAAGTTTGACAGTACAAGTAGAAGTGTTGCTAAACCTAAAGATTATTAAGCAATTGGCTTCCTATCCATGGCTCTTGAGATCTCTCAGACCTAGGCACATTTTCTTATCAAGATTTATTCAGAGGAGATTTGCTGTTGCCTTCCTGAGAGTCTGTGACTTGTCTAAGGTCACCCAGTGGGTTTGTTGAGCTGAGCATAAACTGGTCTCCCAGAGGCCTAGTACACATTAAAGGGGCCCCATATTTTGTACTTGATTTGTGTCACATATATAGTAGGACATGAGTAATTCCATTTGGCTTTGGGCAAGCCTTCCCATCCATTTGCTGATAATTGTCAATTGTTCTTCCTTTTTTTTTCTTTTTTGCATTACAGAAAGACAACATGTCTATGGGTGCACCTACAGTGTAGAAATAATGCAGTTTGACACCACTTTACCTCCCATGGCTCCATCCTACAGAATGCTTAGATTTGTAGTTTTGTGATGCATCAGCACTTTTTTTTTTTTTGCAGAGAAGGCTAAAGACCTCATAAAACTACCAATCCCAGGATTCCATAGAATGGAACTACTGGTATTAAAAGTGGTGTCGAACTGCATTATTTCTACAGTGTGTATGCACCCAAAAAGGAAAAGAGATTTTTCTTTATTTTCACTGAGGTCTACATGTTCATAAAGGCCTTTGAATGAAAAGATGGTTAAATGTCTGGAGGCTACCCCGCAGAGAGAATTTTTAGTCCAAAACTGCTCTAATTTTTGGTTTTAAATGGAATTTCATATAAGTCCTCTCCACTGTTTTCAGATTTTCTTGTAAACTCTGTTGCACAGTGGGAAAGGTGAGATATAAATATTTCAGTTAATTAAAGAAGCAAATAAATGGTAGGAATTTTTGCCCAAACTACAGAGAAGTCACTTGCAAGCTGCTAGGATATGCCATGCCAAACTAAAACAAAATCATCCATCCCTCACCAACTGTGCTTTTTCTCCTGCATTCGCTGCTTCCAAACCACACTGAACTTCCTTTCCAAACTAACGGCAGTCCTCCTGGCACTGCCATAAGTAATAACACATCACACAACAGCTGCTTCTCCAGGACGAGTCTCAAGGCATCAGTTTACAACAAAATCTATTGCCTGCTGTAATTTCTTTTCATTCTATCCTGGTGTCATTTATTCCTCCTTTGTCCCATTGCATCAAGATTTGCTACAACCCTGAGGAACTGAATGAGATTCAGATATATGGGACTGAGCAAATCACAGAGAATTACAGCTGCCACTCCTTGCACCTCTGAAGATGATAAACAGTGTGCAGTGATTAAAATTTAAAAGCTCTTTGAAAGTAATTGTTCAGTCTGCCATCCCACATCCTTGTTATCTGCTTGAAAAATTAGTTTCAGACACAAAGATACAAGCTGCAGTGCTGATGCAGCTCTTGAGCCTGCAAACCAGCTTAGCCAGCATGTGGTAGTGGTTTGAGCATTGGACTATGACTCTGGAAACCAGGGTTCGAAGCCCGGCTTGGCCATGAAACCCTCTGGGCTACCTTGGGCAAGTCACATGCTCTCAGCTTCAGAGGACTGCAATGACAAACCCCTTCTGAATAAACTTGCCAAGAAAATCCTGTGATTGGTTCACCTTAGGGTCACCATATGTTAGAAATGATTTGAAAATATACAAGAATAACAATAAAAACAAGCCATCTCCACTGCCACACTTTAGCACACTCAACTGCCAGTTACGCTTGCCTACATTACTGAAGAATTGCTATTGTCTCATCCACTTCCAGTATGCGCTTTCATCTCCATTTTCCACCAGCCAGGAGGTCTAGAATCTGCTGATGTACATCTCTGTGTGTTTTAGTTGTATGAAAATGCAAAATGAAGTTGTCTTGGTAGACTAAATACAATGCTTGCATTCTCAGATGCTACTCCTAATTCTAACATTAAGCTGAGACCAGTGATGGTTGGTACCTTCCATGTCAGTGGACTGGGTGAATCCATTCCAGGTTTTACTCCAAAATTTAAAGGTGTTATGGTGACCCTAAGGCCAACCTATCATGGGGTTTTCTTGGCAAGATATGTTCAGAGGGGGTTTGCCACTGCCATCGTCTGAGGCTAAGAGAGAGTGTGATTTGCCCAAAGTCATCAGTGGGTTTACATGGCCAAGCAGGGATTCAAACCCTGGTTTCCAGATTTATAGTACAATGCTCAAACCACCACATCACGCTGGCTCCTTGACATCTGCGTAGGAGAAACAGCATCTTGAATCACTCCTGTAATGCTTTAGCTAACATCTGGAATGGATTCGTCAAGATGACACAGAAGCCACCAGCTGCCATTAGCTGAGACCCATTAGACCAGGGATAGGCAACCT